GTATCAATCTTGTTGGCAAATATCATAAACTGACTATATATCGCTTTTACTTAACTGCTAAATCCAAAGTACAGTTTAACTAATAAATTAAAATTATCATTTAGTTCGGTTTCAGACCATTCGAAATTGTTATACCTAACATAATAAATTGGGAGCTTCGATCTAAATTAAAATTTAAATCATAATTCAATTTATATCTATCAGTGCCAACAAGATTTGATCATGTCTGATTATCAAGATTTTCTTGAATCACCCTCCCTCGAACTAGAAAAAATATAACAAAAAATGAATTGCTCGAAATTGCCAAAGTTTTAGAACTAGAAGTTAAAAGATCAATGAGAAAAAAATGAGCTAAAAAAGCGTATTATCGAAATACTAGTCAATGATGATTTGTTGCTTGAGGAAGCATTAGAGAAATACTCTAGTGTCCCTACTAGCCAACCGGGGTTGAGTGATAAAGATAAGTTGGAGATCCAGCTAAAACTGAAACAACTCGAGCTTGAACAAGCTTGTATCGAATCTGAAAGAGAAAATGCACGTCTCGAGGCCGAGCAAGCTCGAATCGAAGCCGAGAAAAAACAAGCTCGTATTGAAGCTGAAAGAGAAAATAAACGTCTCGAGGCCGAGAAAGGACAAGCTCATATTGAAGCTGAAAGAGAAAATAAACGTCTCCAGGCCGAAAAAGCTCACATTGAAGCCTAAAAAGAAACGGAAATTAGACTCAATTCCGATCGAACAAGGCAAAATGACAACTTTGAACTTAATCGATATGTTAAAGTACCACCATTTAATGAAAATGAAGTTGATAAATATTTCCAACATTTTGAGAAAGTTGCCCAAACCATGAAATGGCCCATCGAGAAATGGTCATTATTATTAGAAAGTGTCTTAACTGGTAAAGCACAAAAAGCTTATGCCGCTCTTTCTCTAGAAGATTGTACGAATTATGATAAGGTTAAAGCAGCTATCCTCAAAGCATATGAGTTAGTACCAGAGGTTTATCGCCAAGTGTTTCGAGGTTATCGCAAATAAGATAATCAAACTTATATGGAATTTGCCCTCGAAAATGAGGTTTATTTTGATTGATGGTGTAATTCTATGCATATTGGCAATAGTTTCGACAAACTAAGACAATTATGTCTAATTGATGAATTTAAACA